CTTCGACTTTTCTCTACAAACCCCAAGCCACGACAATATTTATTTGTTTATGTTTGAGGCAGTTTTGCACTTTCGCTTCTTCGCAATCGTACCACAGGCTATCTTGGCCGAGAGGTCTAAGGCGCTGCTCTCAAGAAGCAGTCCTCGAGAGAGGGCGCAGGTTCAAACCCTGCAGATAGCATACCTCGTTTTGACATCGCTGCTTTTTCCTTTTACACTCCTATGCTGAAACTCTGAAAAAGAAATTAAGTGCAACGGGGCCAACGTCGGAGGTTCCCTCACCGATTGCCACGTCCAAGCAGGCGGCGCATGACGGCCCCAATCACAGAGGCAGTGGGCCGCAGGGCCATGCCGAATATTGGCATGTGCCCGGAACCGCCACTGCGGCCGCATCGAGCTGCAGTAAAAATGAGAGCGTTGTGCAGGAGGATGGAGTAAATGGTGTAGTGACGCGATCAGCTGAATGTCAAAGTGCTGTTCAAGCTTCCATTGTGTGCGTTTTGTGTGGATCCGCCGGAGTTGACGTAACACAACATCCCGGCCAACGACATCGGCACATGGCTCACCATGCTTGGCGTTGGGGTCAGAATCGCATGCTACCAGCACAAACACAGGAAACAGCAGGTTGAGGAGCGCCGAGCCCACGTGGAATGGTAGCAGCAGTGTTGGTAACGTGCAGGGCAGTCCGAAGCCTGCAGGGAGAGAGCAACTTGGATTTGGCTGTATTGTGGAGTTGGCGGGCATCATCGATGCATCGCTGCAAGGCAGCACATCGTCATATTTACGTCGTGTGTGTGTGTGGGGGGGGGGGGTGCACGTGAGGGCATCGCTGGTGCCCACAGATGGCTGAGGCCGTGACACACCCGCAAAGAAGGCCCAGCGGCGCTCGAAGAAGTTAATCCTCTCCGGCAGCGGGACGCCTTGGAGGCCCCAGCCGTAGTCAAAGCAGTAGAAGGCGTACAGCCACGAAAGGAACAGCACGTTGGCCAGGCGGCCTGCGAGGTGGCCGCGGGATGACAGTCGAGCGGAGCGCGCATGGGCACAGCGCTGCACGGGCCATTTGAGGCCCCACCAGCAGCGCACACGTCCTCCTGCAACCGGCAATTCCCAGCCCTCGGCCCAAACACACGGCAGGGGCGAGGGAGCAGCATGAGCAAGGCGGTCTGCGCGCGCACCCAGGTAGGGCAGCCAGCTGATTGCCGTGACCTCCAGTGAGTAAACCATGAAAAACAGCACGCGATACAGCTCCTGCGCCACACCCTCCAGCGCTTGCCCCGCGCCGCCAGAGCCGCCCCCCCCACTGGCGCCCACAATAGGGCCGGCGCCGCTGGAAGAGGAGGCATCAGAGACACGTGGGGCCCCAGCGGCCGCTGGCGCAAAGGGCGACGCCAGCGGCGCTGCAGGGCTCGAGGCAGCCGGCGGCACGGTTGCTGCTGCTGTTGTCTGGCCTGGCTGCTGCTGCTGCTGCTGCTGCTGCTGCTGCTGCTGCTGCTGCTGCTGCTGCTGCTTCTGTCGTCTGACCTCAAACGCCGCAACTGCCATTTGTTGATACCTGCACGGCCACGATAATGCGGGGGGTGAAAAGGAAGGTACTGCAATGACAGCCGCGGGTGTGATGTCCCAACTACAGACAAGCCGATGTCAGCAAAGCCATATCAACAGCCAACATGCACACAAGCAGTCCACACCCCACTTGCACACGCAGTTTTTCCCGACCTTCCTGCTGCGCTATCGCCCACCAGATGCAGCTAACGATGAGCGATATTACATAAAGCGGCAGCAGCCACGTGGCCTGCAGCACAAGGTTGAGCACACGCCGCCATGCCTCCACCGCACGCGGGCCGTAGGCAGGGAGTGCATACGACTCCAGGAGCCACCTAACTGCAGGATCCACAAGCCGCTCGTGCCACAAGATACTAGGGTTGGGCCGAGCATACATGAGTAGCGGGAAGGGGCGTTGGCAAGGGTGCAGGCAAGCTTGCTGAATGGGGTTTGGGAGTGAGTGTGGAACCTGCCCCGAAGCGTCCAGTGGCTGCACGCACAAGTGCAGGCTCGTCATGGCTCCCGAGCCCCCAACGGCTCTCACCTCGCCAGGTAGACCCCACCATTCACCACGGCGCATTTGCCCATCTTGGACTGCGAGCCAGGTTGCGTTGTGGGGCAGCCAGGTGAGAACCATTGACCGCGCCTTGGTCGTCCGCACGCACGATGCCCAGTGGAGCAAGGCGGCCACAAGTTGTGCCAGATAGGGTCTCAGCGCTTGGTCCTAGCCGCTGCCGCTCCGCGCCTACCAAGATGGTGCCGCTGCCGTCAAGGACGCAAAATACGATGCAGCGCTGCAGCTGCAGTGCGTCGCACACGCCGCTCCACCTGCAGTGTAATTGTGCATTGTGACGCTGAAAGTTTCAAAGTAGCAGTCCAGAAGCAGGGAAGCAGATGGTGCAGTGGCGCACCACAGGGCCGCAACCGTGCTCATCGACTTGGCGAGGGTTGGCTGCGCCATAGGCGCGAGTGCCGCCGGCGAGCCCTGCCTATCGCGCCTGACGGCGTCTGAATTTTGAGTCTCTAGAGAGGCTTTCATATCTAGTTGCAAACGCGCGCAAGCATGTCAGCAGTACCGGTACAATCTGCAGAATCCCATTCGGCTACTCCTAGACATCGAGCGCTCTCTTATCTCCGTAAAATTGTATGTCAGGCATACATAGTGCGCGTGATCAGGGGACTCGGGTTTGAAGTGATCTGCATCGACTGGTGTCAACGCGCGTGTGCCGTGCTATCCATGGCAGCGAGCCACGCAAACGAGCCTGAATTAGAGGGTGGAAAAGCGCGCGACATCGGCCCGATGGCGATCAGTGCAAGCGGCGACCGCTCATGCAGCGGCACCAGCACCAGCTATGGCAGGTTTGAGCTAGGCGTCACATCCGCCTTGAGACAGCTGCTGCACGAGGCTGCGAATGACGACAGCGTGCCCGAGGTGGGTGGTGGCTGCTCTTCGCAGCTCAGCTAGTGGCACGGCCAGAGATCTTTGACCAGACACCTTGTTGAGACACTGTGTGTGCCCCAGCGTGGCCGCCACCTGCTTGCGTATGCCTTCATCCCTCTCCCAAAACATTCAACGCACCGTGTACCTAACAAATGGCTAATCAGGAGCTGAGGCAGCATTGCAAGCAGTATGCAGACGCCGACGGCGTGCCGTGGCGCCTTGCGCAGCAGCTGTGCGAGCGCTCCAGGTGGGCTCCACGGGCACGGTGCAGCCCTCGGCTGTCTGGCCCCCCTGGTGCAGCTGCCTCTGGGCGGCCCCCCTGCATCATGCACCAGTTGCTTGAGACACCAAGGCATTTGCCAAGTCTTGATGTGTGAGCAACCTGTTGCGTGCGCTGCCCCCCCGCACGAACAGGCGCGCGGGGTCGTGTCGCCCCGCCGCTTGGCTGCACGAAAGCGCCGCTGGCCCCGGCGCCGCCCTGCGCCTGCCCGGCCCCGCGCCGCGCCGTCGCCCCGAGGCCCTGGCCAAGCGGCTAGAGGCGCTGCAGGCGCGGCTGGATGAGAAGAAGTACGCAGAGATGGTCGCTGACGTCACCGCCGAGGAGCGGCGGCTGGCGGAGCTTTCCAGCGAAATGTTTCCGACCACCCGGCTGCAGCTGTCCTTTGGGCTTCACGTCCTCGTGACCATGGGGACGCTCTTTGCCCTGGGGTTTTACGGGCTGCGCTACAGCACGGGCAGCGACACATGGGTGGGCGGCAGGGCGGAGGCGGCGGCGAGGCGCAGAGGCCCCGGGGCGAGGGCGTGGGGCGGCAGCGCGTGGCCGGGGCGAGGGCACAGGGGCCAGGGTGGGCCTGGCGATGGCGATTAGCCAAGTGGTGGGCTGCGCAGCAGGTGGCATGATCGACTTGGTTTGGGCGAGCATGAGGACGGCTGCAAACAGAGTCGCCAGCTCATACCACACGAGCCATGGACTCGTGCAGCAGCGAACTGCGTCAATCCGCGCTGTTCCCCACTCTCTGTCCCCGCTGGTGTCATTGAGCAGGGGGCCGTGGGCGGCGCCTTGGGCATGGCTGGCGCGCTGCTGCTGGAGACGACACTCCTCATCATACGCCAGAACATGCCCGAGCCCCTGGACAAAAAGTACGGCCACCTCATGGCGCCAGACGGCCGCTGGCGGCGCAGGGCTGCCCCTGGCGCGAGCACCGCTGGCGCCGACGCCGGCGCGCCCCGGGACCAGCGGTGGCAGGGGGCGGCTGGCGGTGGCGGCGCTCGTGGGGCAGGACGCGAGGCAGTCATAGAGAAAAAGACACTATGATGAGTTCCCCTCCTGGGCCGCTGAAGCATGTTTACTCTATTTACTTGTCTTGTAACATGTCTGCGGCAGGCCCAGGCAATGGCAGGGGTGCAGCAGTGCACAGCAGCGCTGGTTTAAGGTCAGTGCGTTGTCGATGGATCACATCACACCAGCAAATGCGAGGGTCGTCCAGTTCATACTAATGCAATGCAGGTTCTGTTGATGGGCCTGCTGTAAAGGAAGGAACAAACGACGTGCACAAGCGAGCATATGATTGCGTGCGGGCACCACCAAGCAATACGGTACGGCTGTCAATGGCCGCAACCGCGTAGCGGCCGCGGATGCCGCAGGCCCAGCAGTGCGCAGCCTATGCCTTGCTGCCGCTTGGCGCCGGCTTCTGAGCCTCCAGAATCCTGATGTGGCTGTACCAGCCTATGCCCCCCAGCGCCGTCGCCAGCCCGACCCCTTTCTTCAGCCCGAGCTCCTCCCCAAAGAACAGGACGCCCGCGGCCACGATCAGCAGCGTCTTCAGGTGCCCGACCACGTTGTACGTGAGGCTGCTGGTGGCGCCGATGAACAGGAACGTCGACAGGGTGACGACCAGCCCGAGTGCTGAGCTGGCGGCGATCCAGGCGACCGCGGCCGGTGTGAAGACGTACCCCAGAATGGTGCCCTGTTTGGGGTCGTACCACCCGACGGGCTCCACCACTGGCACCAGCACCAGGAGCAGCAGCACGGAATAGGGCGAGACCTGCTGCAGCAGCTGCATGCCGTTGAGGCCCAGCTCCTTCTGCTTGGTGCCCGCCCAGACCTACGGGCGTGCAGGGTAAGAGAGCGGGGGGGACGTTCCGCGGCGACGGCAGTGGTGAGGTGGGGAGCAGCAGGGGTTGGCGGTACTGGCGCGATGTCGGCGGGGAGAGCAAGCCTAATCCAGCCTGGTGGCACCACGCAGCTCAGGCCCCCACCACGATGCTTCCCCACACTGACGCGCAGCGACCGCGCTTGCCCCCTGGGTCACTCCTTTCCCACCCATCTGTACGGGCGCTCGCACACAAACGTGCGCCCGCAGGCACGCACAAATTTGCATGCAGGTTACGGACATGCACCACCCCCGCCGCACCTGGTACAGCGACGCAACGATCACCGCCGCCGCAGCCGCTGCCATGCCGGCAGGGTTTGACGAGACCTGGGAGTCGGTCACTGTGCACAGCGTGATGCCCACCATGAGTATGGCGATCGCGGCCATCACGCTCCTGCTGACGGTCTTCTTGTAGAACACCCACTCTATAGCGACGACCACGGGTGTGATCAGCAGCTTGCTGAGCTGGTAGAAGCCTTTTGAGGGGAGGGAGAGAGGAGGTTTACGGGGTGGAGGGGCTGGCAGCGAGAATTTAGGGAGGGAGGGGGGTCTGGGGTGCAGAGCGCTGCAACAGTACGTGCTGGAGCTCAGATGTCCGTCTCAAGCAGGCTGCAGTGCATGCCGCGCCGGTGCTGGTATATATGTGTACAGCAGCAAGGCGCCTGTGCTGGCTACCCCGCCCGCCCTTGCAATCAGCACCCATGACGGGGACTCTCTTACCCAGTGGATTGAATTGGACTGCAGGCAGCGCCGCAAAGGAGGGGAGCAGGGCATGCAGGCATCAGCATCAAGATCAGCCCTGACACTTCGCGCAAAGATACGCATTGATTTATGCAGAGCAAGGGGCACGCAGGCCAGGACACTCCGACTGCCACTCAGCAAGACCATGACGGCACAACAACATGGGATGGCATCCCACTGCACGCACTTGACAAGTTGTTGGTCACGATGAAGCCTGAGGTGGGCCGAACGTGAGTGGATCAGTGCTCAGGCCATCACAGGGACAGCGCTCAGGCCATCCGCATGTTCAGCGATGTCAATGCTTGTCACCGTGCTGCATGCCGCACGGGCACCCCCGTGTGCAGTCAGCTGCAGTCCCACCCAGGCGGCCAGGAATCGCTTCCGCTGGCTCCCTGTCTCACGCACGCAGCACCGCTGCGACCAGCAGCTGGCACTCGCGGCGGGTCGCCCGTCGCGGTCTGCAGCTTTGCCGCCCCTGGCCAAGTGGTTCGCGCGCAGCCATATGCCGCTCACCTACGTACACTGCCGCGATCTGCACGCTGTGCCGCGCTGCGACGGCCTTCACTGGAAACAGCCCCAGCATCGCCATCAAGCCCATCCCCACGTATGTGAAGACCGAGTGCAGCAGCGTGAGGGTGACAACGAAGCTGAACTTGCAGGTGTAGAGCACCATCTTGTTGGCCACAACAATCATCACAACGCTGCTGAGGTTGGTGAGGCCGTACGACACGGTGAGCACCCACTGCGGCACGCCCCGTGGGCCGCCCGCGTCGACCAGCGCGCCGGTGCCGCCCCCAGAGGAGGCGCCATCCGTGCGCGGCAGGTCGCGCGGGAGCAGCGGCTCGGTCTGTTTTTCAGGGTCATCTGATGCCGTGGTAGATGAGTGCGTGCCCCGCGAGTCTGTCTTTTTGAACATCCCAGTCTCCATTTGTGCTGCCCGCGCCCTGGAGCTGCTCTGAGGACTGTGTTGTTGTACCAGTGAACATTCGTACGGTATCACCGCTTCAATAGCAGGAGCGACCGTACTGTGAAGTCCGTGGTGTTGTCCGGATGCTTGTACGGAGACAAGATCGTCGGTGGTGCCTGTCGCTCACACCCGTCTCGCCGGTGACACGCGTGGCAGGTTCATATTTGATACCCTTTCGCTCACGTATACAGAATTTCTGTATATCGATATATACATTTGACAGTGCTGGTGATAAGAGACTGAAGGCCGTGCCACCTGCTGGTGGCGGCCTGAGTGCATGCTGACGGCTCCTGACTAAAACCCGGACGATCATCATGCGCCGCTGCTGCTGGCTCTGCTTGTGCATGTCCACCTAATGCCTTTTATGGGTGCCAGTGCGGCACCTGTGCTTCGTGGCCTGTGATCGGGCATCGGGCAGAGCATCGTTGCAGCATGCATGCCAGCAGCAGCGCTTCTATTCCCCTGCTGCTTTCTGTTCCGACTAACACGTGGCTCAGCCAACCATACTGGGAGGTTAGCCGCTGAGTGCACTCGGAGCCACATTTGAAAGCGGTCCAGTTACTCGATCTGGACCAACACAACTTGACGGCGCAGCACAGCACGCACCATCCTCGTCTGCGGAGACTGTCAGGCTTTCTGAGTCAAGGGGCTGCTCCAAGCGGAAGCCAGCGTGCAGGAGAACGGCAAGGCGTTGCGGCAGCGCCAATGAGAGATGCTTGGAATTGTAGTGTCTCAAGAGTGTGCACCCAAAAGCAGAGGCCTGCAGGAGATTGAGGGAAGGCTACTGCAAAGATAGCCCTACCGAATGCATTGTATGGGCCCCTGCAAGTGAGGTGGCTGTCCTGCCAACCCCCATGTGCACCCCAAAAGACAGGTAAGTAGTGCAGCTCCGGCCACACGTGCCCTGCCCTGCCCTGTGCCTGATGCAACCAATGCAAAGCACCCTGGGCAGCGCCCCGTTTTGGGTGGTGGAGCTCGTTGGCGGGCAACAGCCTGCAAACCAAGTGAAATCAAGGCACACCCCTCCCCCGCCCCCCACACACACGCGCACGCCACTGCTGTCGCTACTCAGTGCGCTCGGTGCCGCACATGGCGCACGCCAGGAACCCAGCCTCTGGGCCCTTGTGCTCGTATGTGCACACGCTGCACGACCATGCGCCGGGCGCAAACCCAGGCCCTCGCGGCCGCGGCGCAGCCGGTGTGGCGCCAGCACTGTACAACGCTGCTGATGGCTGCTGCGCCATCTGCTGCGCCATCTGCTGCGCCCGCTGCTGCGCCAACTGCTGCTGCATGACCTGCTGCAGCGACGGCTGCTGCAGGGCTGGCTGCTGCATGGCAGGTCGCGCGGCCTGCTGGCTCCACTGCTGCTGCTGCTGCTGCTGCTGCTGCTGCTGCTGCTGTTGCTGCTGCTGTTGCTGCTGCACCAAGGCAAAATTGGTGTAGGCCGGGTACACAGGCTGCGCCACGGGCACCTGCGCGGGCCGCGCAACCTGCGGCGCGCCCGCTCCCGCCGCCGCCCGCTGCCTCTGCAGCTCGTAGCCGGTCGGTGCATGCGCGGCGGCCTGCGCGCGCACAACCCCCTGGAGGTGCGGCGGCAGCGTCGGCGCGGCCGCGGGCGCGGCGGCGCCGCCGGGCTGGAATGGAACCGTGACAGTTGGGATAGACTGCGGCGCAGGGACGGGCACGGGCACCGCCAGCCGTGGCGCGCTCGACACAGCGGACGGGGCCGGCGCTGAAACGGGTTGCGGCACAGGAATCGGGACGCGCGGGGCCGCCGCCACGGGCTGCGGGACGGGAATAGAGGCTGCCCCCGCGGGCGACGGCTGCGGCACCGGGACGGGCACCGGCACCGAGACGCCGGCTGGGGCAGCCGGCGTCTCGGTGCCG